AAACAATAAACCAGAATATATCTACCTATTTCAGAATATATCAGAGGCATGCTAGAACTATCATAACATGGAAGATTATATATACACATTCTGCCAGTTCTATACACCTAAAAGGACCTAGTACTTTAAAAAAAAAAACTAAAGGAGAAAAGGAAGCAACATGCCTAAGTTATTCAGACAAGGAACCCTATCAGAATCACATATAGAAAAAGGAGAAAGCTCTTTAAGCAAGAGTAAGTAAGACCATCAAAGTAGCTAATCAAAGACTAGAGGAGAAGAAAAAGGCCTTCTAAGTTAAGATTAATAAGTCCTCTGAAAGAGTAGGTAGTTAGAGCCTTAAGAATAGGAAATACCAGGAAGGATTTTACCATTCCCATCCTTTTACTAGGAACAAAAGAACCTATCAATATATTAATCAACTTAGGGAGCAATGTCAATATGATCAACCCCATGATTATTAACCTCTATTAACTGCCTTACTAACTATATGAAAAGCTAGTAATAATTAGAATATATAAGGATAAGAAGGCTCTCTATAAGGGAAGACTGGTAAAGTAATGGTCAAAACTCTTAATCATAGTAGACAATGACCACCAAGAGACAATCTTCCAACTACTACTAACAGGTAATAAGTATTCCATAATATTAGGAAAACCCTAGTTATTAAAGTATAATCCTAACATCAATTAGAAAAAAGGAACCATGTCCCTATAAGATAGGGAATAGGACACCCAAGAGAAGGGAAATCCTAAAGAAGATAATACCCTAGAAGAACTAAAAGAAGACATCTATAAAGATACATGACTATGGATTTGGATCATAATAATAAAGGACCTAGATAAAAAGTCCTTGCCACCCAGACCTGGTAAAGATCTAAGAGATCTATTAAAGGTATTAAAGGAGTATCTATAGTACTTACTATTCAGAAAGAAGTTGACCAAACTACCTAAACATAGCCCCTATGATCATAAGATTAAGCTAAAAGAAGGAGACAAGCTAAGGTTCTTCCCAACATACCACCTAAATCCACAATAGGATAGGGTACTAAAGGAGTATATTAAAGAACAACTAGCCATAAGATTCATCAAACCATCATAGTCTAAAGTAGGATACCTAGTCCTATTTGTTCCAAAGAAAGGAACCATAGACCTAAGAATGGTGGTGGATTACCAGACCCTTAACAAAGATACCATCAAGAATCAATACCTATTATCCCTGATATTAGAAATAAGAGAATAAGTAGCCAAAGCAAATTAGTTTACTACTCTAGATTTCCTGATGGGTTATAATCATATTTATATCAAGGAAGGAGACAAGTATAAAACAGCTTTTAGAGCATATCATGGCCATTATTAATATAAAATAATACCCTTTAGACTCACTAATATACCAGCAACCTTTCAAGAAAAAGTAAATGATACACTATACCACCTACTACACTTTATGTTTATATATCTAGATAACATCTTGATATATTCAGAAACAATAGAGGAACATAAAAAGTATATACATATGGTACTATAAGCACTAGAAAAAGCAGACTTTCAGTGCACCCTAGGAAGAGCTAGTTCCATGTTTAAGAGTTATCATACCTAGGGTTCAAGATAACCCTAGGATGGATCATAATGGAACCGTCAAAATTAGATACAATTTGAGACTGGCTAGTACCTAAAACCCAGAAAGATATACAAGCCTTTATAGGCTTCACAAATTTCTACCACAGGTTTATACAATACTTTAGAGATATCATGAAACCTATAAACAAACTGATAGGCATAGGGAAACTTTTCAAGTAGAAAGAAAGACAATAATAAGCTTTTTAAGAGCCTAAAGAAAGCATTTACCAAAGCCCCTATCTATGCCCTGCCCAACTCACTCAAAAAGTACATTGTCAAGACAGATTCTTCCAACTATACATCAGGAGGAGTACTAAGCCAAGTAGGAGACAATAGGAAACTATACCCAGTAGCCTTCCTCTTAAAAGGACTACATAGAGTAGTAGTAAATTATAATATAAGAGACAAAGAACTAATAGCCATTATTCAGTGCCTAGAGGAATAGGTACTATACCTAAGTGGCATAGAAGAACCCTTTAACATCCTCATAGACCATTTAAACCTAAGAACATAGGTAACCAAGAAACTTAATAAAAAGCAAACCCAATAGGCTAAGTTTCTTAATTCAACTTCAAGATACACCATATTAAGGAAAAGGAAAACAGGAGGGCAGATACACTAGGCAGGAGAATCAACCATAAAACAGAAGATAAACCCAAGACTCTACCCATCCTTTAAGAACTAGAAAATAAAACCCTTAGAAAGATACTATAAGTATTCTTAGAATACTATACTAGCTACCAAGTGGAATGGCAAAACAACAACTTCCAATACAAAAGAGATACACTTAGTAATAAAGAACTTCCACTAGAAGTAAAAGGAGGGATAGAAGACAACTCATTACTTTAGTACCATAGGAAAGCCTATATTAAACCAAAGAGACAAAAAGAGTATATTCACAAAATACATAAGGCCCAAACCAGAGGGCATATAGGAATCACCAAGACATTAGATCAACTATAAAATAGTTATGATTTCCTAAAAGCAAAGGGAATAATTGTCACACTTGTCAAGCTCACCTAAGGTCAACAGGGTGATTCACCTCCTTGACCTGGGCTGACCGTGGACACGAAGATTCACACACCATGGACCATCAGGAGTGGGGACTAGAGCCTCATTCATTGGCAGTCACCATCCCAACATGATGGGCCAACCAAGGATCTCTAGCAGATTGGATCGAGACCTTGGGCCACACACAAGCAAGGGGCAATCCACATAGTGGATCGACTCGCGCTAACCCCGTCATCAGACTTCAGATTTGTCATGGACGAACCACATAACCTCGGCATCGTGGTCCAGGCTGCATGACAGCTGAACGGATCGTACGATGGTCTTTCAATCAGGGACCTCTCTGATATCGCAGTTATCCTGTTGGAAGACCTTGAACCAACACTTATCAAGCACCTATCTCAGTGGTGACAGGTGGTCGCGACCAGGCCCACTCGGGCAGCGATGAGTCACGAAGGGAACCACTGCTGCGACAGTCAATGTGGGACTAACCTAACAATGCTGTGGCCAGTGATAGTACCAAGGACTTGAGGGAACCTCCACAGTATGCTGTTGAGAGTAAGTACCAACATAGGCCAAAGACTTGTCGTGAGATGGCCGGCTTCACTTGGTATGTAGCCACGGATTGATAGGGTGCTTGCGACGGGCGGCTAAAGGACCTTCGGGACCGACGGGCGGTTAGGACGGATCAAGGGAACATTGTATCTAGTACATAGCCTTCCATAAAAGAGATGAAAGAAGCGCTGAACCCTCAGAGGGAGAAGAAGCTCTGCAGTCCTTTTTGGAAACTGACCTTAGAAAGATTATCAGCTGAACTTCAGTGAAGCTGAGGGGAATTCTATCCTTGTGGAACCCTTGTTGTTTGTTCATCAATTCTTCATTGCATCTTCTGAGATAGCGACCTTGCTGACTTGCTCTCGTGCACTGCACTTGGTGATCCTGTCCTTGATTGCTGCGAGGAGCTCTGTGGTGGTTTGGATGCGACCGGCGACAAGCAACCACCCTCTTCTTCAATTGACTTGCAACTGCGAAGGCATCATGTGTTATCCCCTGTTTGATCATCCCATCTCCCTGAACGATTTGATCGTCCGACACTGTCCGGATCATCGTTACAGCTCTGCAGTTTCATCTTGCAGTGTTTGCACACCTTGTCGTTGTCATCCCCGCTCCACCTTACTTCTCACCTAGGTGTGGCGCCGGTGTCACAATAATAGAAAAGGTAATACATAACTATGACATTTATAACAAGTCAAAAAACCAAAAACATACACAATACAGCCTATTAAAACCACTACCTATTCTAAGACAAAAATAAAGTTCCATTTTAATGGACTAGGTATCAGGGGTACCCAACTTAAAAGACCTAGCAACAGGTATTAAATATGACTAGATTTAGGTCATGATAGATAGACTTATAAAATAGGCTTACTTCCTACTAATAAGAAAAGACATAAAAGCAAAGCAACTTACTTACCTTTTCAAAAGAAACTATATTACAGCATACCTATAGCCCAACAACATAGTAACAGATAAAGACAAGCTGATTATCTCTACCTTCTAGCAAGGACTAATAATAAGGATAGGAGTCAAGAGCAAACTCTTAACTACCCACTACCTATAAATAGATAGATAGACAGAATGACTTAACCAAACCCTTAAGACATACCTAAGAGCCTATATTAACTTCAAACAAGACAACTAGCTAGAGCTACTACCAATAACATAACTAGCCTATAATATAATAATAGTAGAATCTATAAAGGTATCACCATACTTTACCATCTATAGTCAAGAACCTAAACTCTAAAGAGGACCATCCTATAAAGCACCAAGAGTAGGAGTCAGGGCAAATAGAATCCAAGAACTCATGGAACTACTAAAAGAGGAACTTAAACATATATATAAAAGGATAAAAGTCTACTATAATAAATATAAAGTTAAGGGACCAACTCTAGAAGAGGGAGACTATGTCTACCTGTTTTCTAGAAATTTAAAAACAAAATGACCAAGCAGGAAGCTTGACTTCAAAAGATATAGACTATTCCAGATCAAAAAGAAGATAGCAACAATAAACTATAAACTAGACCTATCAAAGACCATAAGAGTTAGGACCAGAGTCTTCTACATGTCACTACTAGAACCAGCACCAAAGAACATCCCACTAGAAAAAACCCTAGAAGTAGAAGCAGATAAGGAAGAGTTCAAAGTAGAGGAACTTCTAGATTCACGGTTCAAGAAAAGAGTATTACAATACCTAGTCAAGTGGCTTGGCTATAGACCTATAGACAACTCCTAGGAACCATACATAGGGCTCTCATGCCTAGAGTTGGTCAAGGAGTTCCATTGCCTAAACCCCAATAAACCAAAAAAGAAGAATGCCCCCAGGAGGAATTAAACCCCCGACTTCTCTGACACTATATAAGACAACTTACTACATGGGACATACACAAGTTGCCTATACAAGAGCAAAGCACACTACCACTACACCACAGGGACAAGATTGTTAAAAACAGCCCAGGTTATAACAACCTATAAAGACCTAACACGCCTAGACACAAGGCATTAGTATATAAATCTCCATTTCTCTTATCTCCATTTTTTCCTTATACTATCAAGAAAGAAAGGGTATTTACCTAGGGTCAGAGAAGAAACCAGTGATAGGACCCATGTCATTTAGAAGTTCAGGATCAAGCCAAGAGGCTAGGGAGAAGCCTGGAGCAGGAGCAGATACTTGTTCCAGCACCTCAAGCTCTATGATATCCTAGGACTCCTAGGCAAACGCTTTACAGGCTCTCTCCTCCAAAGCATAATGCTACTTACACAACCAAAGGAGCCTTAACTAAGCCTCCATACTATCTAACAGAGCCTTCTCTTTAGCCTCATCAAGTTTATTCTTTTGACTGATCAGAGAGTCAAAGACCAATTGGCTTAAACCTACAATGTCATAGGAAGGAGCTTGATGAAGCATAAGGACCCTAACATCAAAACCTGTTAGTAACTTTACATTTAAGGTTCTTATCATTACAACAAGTACACAAAGGCATCAGAGAACCAAATAAAAGAGAATTGGTGGCAGAATAAAGGCAATGTGTGGTACTAAGTTTGGGATCAGAAGGAGGATTTTTTCGTTTACGACCCATTGCAAAGAAGGAAACAGGAATAGGTTAAGCAGTGATTTCAGTTAGCAGGGTAAGCATATTCTTATGGTGGAGCCACGGTAGATCTTCGGGGCAGAAGATCTAGGGAGGAGAGACTACGTATGACATCCCACTTAGGGAAGTGGGGTCACATGGTTTATCATGTGATTTACAGTGATCTATGCGATCTGTAAACAGATCGTACAGATCAGTGTACTCAGTTCTTGATCTATATAATCTACAAACAGATCACACAGATCATGTTCGCACTCACCAAGAAGGATACAAGTTACCTTGTTCCCCACTATTAGCTAGTCAGTATAAGTAACCATCGTACACCACACCATGGAGCGTGAGGATTCCTGTTCCTCACGCAAGCAATTACATTCTATTATGTCCCATCACTTTACAAGTCTTTGGTGACAGCAATCTGTTCAACAGAGTGTGAACCCCCTTCTTGAGATACTTGCCTTCGAGAGTCAACCTTCCCCATAACCCCAACCCTAGAGCGTGCGGCTCTACGATCTATTGTTCAATACCCGGTACTTAGGTACCTAGTGTGCAGGTTGTAACAGATCATAGACCAAGATCATCCTGTAATTTTTTGATAATCATAACAACATTTACCTGTCCTTATTTTCGCCTGGAATTTTAGACCTGGACCTTGGCTTTATAGGCACTAATAAGTATCAAGCATGCTGCCAGTTGGCAATGCTGTTTTTAACGACCTCTTAAGTAGTATTAAAGGAATATAGAATCTGAATGCTCTTAATGTCCTTATTATATATGGCCTTATGTTGCCTTAAGGACCAATAAGATAAGAAATAGAACTTCCCAGGAATATAAAGTCGACCTGGGACAGCGTTGCCGTGCTGATTTTAACTATTGACAATTCTTTAATCTCTTATTAAATAAGCTAGGTGTTGGAGATGCGCGACATCAGCCGTTAGGATAGGATTTGAAAGCAGATGACATCATATTTTACAAGTCTAGATTAGGTCGCCCTTGTATATTATAGGCGATATTTTATATAATAAGAAAATCTTATATGTTAAGAGAAAGACCTAGTATATAGATAGAGAAAGAATAAAAGAAAGGATTTAGTAAAGATGGGCTTCTTCTATTGTACTTTTATCATTAGCCATCTAATATATGTCTTTAAGGTGTAGAAATAGAGTATAAACATAGAAGAATAAGAAGAATAACCTAAACAATATAAAGACTACTATCCCTTAAGCTATAAGATAATGCTACCATTACACCTAGTAATATTAACCTATTTACTTATACCATCATATTCTTTATATTATAAGGAAGATATTTAATATACTTGTTATAACCTACACACTAGGTACCTAAGTACCTGGTATTAAACAACAGATCATAGAGCAGCACGCTCTAGGGTTGGGTTGTGGAGGAAGGTTGACTCTGAAGGCAAGTATCTTAAGAAGGGGTATCATACTCTGTTGAACAGATTGTTATCACCAAAGAGTTGTAAAGTAATGGGACACAATAGAATGTAATTGCTTGTGTAAGGAACAGGAATCCTCACGCTCTATGGTGCGGTGCACGATAGCTACTTATGCTAACTAACTTTTGATGGGAGGTAAGGTACTCTATACCTTTCTTAGTATGAGTGACCATGCTATGTGTAATCTGCAAACAGATCGCACAGTTCAAGAAACCGTGTAAACCGCTCTGTGCGATCTATTTATAGATCGCACAGATCACTTAAAGTCACATGACAAGCCACGTGACTCTACTCCCTAGAGTGGCACTTCCAAGAGTGGGATGTGACAATACTTTTCTATGGCAAGGGTAGAGTATATAGCCAATAGCATTACAAAGGATAAGAAGCCATTCTAATAGAGTATTAGCTCTTAGCTATATAAGGAGTATTTTTTGCTTAGGAATATAGCTTCTTTAAAAAGATAAAGGTCTTAATGTAATAAGTATAGAGAAAAGTCCCTAGTATATACTCTAATATAATATTAAAGTTTCAAAATCTTAATACATCTTAAGGATAAGGGTTATAGTACTATAGAGCTAATTAATAATAGTCTTTTATCTAATTTATATTAGCTATTATATATAAGAGAAGCTGCTACTAAAATTTATCTAAAGAAATAATACAGGAAAGTTAAGAAGTAATAAAAAGATATTAATAGTTTAGAAGAATTAAACCTTTTATCATAATAATCCTAGCATGATATATTAGTGTTATGATAAAGAAGAGCAGAGCACACTACTACTAGGCTATCAGGGTTATTATTGCTAGGGATTAGGAAACTAGATAATATATAGATTTAGTATATATAGCCATTTTCCACTTATAGCGTATTTATGCATAAAGGCTTTTTTTACTTGCCGCTTATTAGTATATGCAGCTATTTTCATTATAAGAAGCTATTTTAAGTACACGCAGCCATTTTTAGCACACACTAATTTTCAGCACACACCCATTTTCAGCACACCCCATTTTCAGCACACACCCATTTTCAGCACGCAGCCATTTTTAGCACACACAGCCATTTTTCATTCATTTACAGCGCATCACACAGGCTCTTGATCACACGCTTGCAGCGCATACAGGCTTTAGATCGCACGCTTGTAGCGCACACAGGCTTTCAATTGCATGATCACAGCGCACAGGTGGTTAATTTGGTTTGTTTTCTCAACATGCCACTAAATTGGGACTGCCATGCTAACACACAAAAACAGCCGACCAACATTCCCTTGCAATGCAATGCGCGCCATGACTCCCAATGGTGTCAACCCAAAAAGAACAAGAACAATCTAAGGACCACTATCCCTTCATTGGCAATGCACCATCATGACACCCAGTGGTGTTGACCCAAGGAGATGAAGAAGATGAAGAATATGAACAAAAAGAACAAGAAGAACAAGAACAAGCCAAAGACCACTATCCCTTTGTCTGCAATGCGATGCGCACCATGACATCCAGTGGTGTCGACCCATCTGCCTGTACCATAATGTCCTCCATGTCTTGAAAATGACACTGTATATACTTCCCTGCAGCTGAGAGGTGGAGTATATGGCCGATGGCACAGTAAAGTCCAAGAAGCCGTTCTGACGGGGCATCGATTGTGGGGTGTGTGAAGAGTGTCCTGGTGACTGGTAACCACCTTGCATTACCAGGTGTAAAGCTCTTGATGCAATAGGTGTGTGGATCAGTACCTAGTACACGCTGAAAAACAACATTGAATTTCCCAAAATCCTCATGCATGTCATGTGTGAGGGACATGGCGTTGTGTGGCTGATCAATCTTGGTCCCTTCGATCTTATCGATAACACCAACATCAAACATGTTGAGGATGTCAAGGGCAGCTCTCTTCTGGTCACCCTACTTTATATTAGTTATTATGCCATGGAAAAGAAGAGAGGGTTCAAACTAGTTGACCATCTTTTTGCTTTGTCAAAGAATGGGGAAGGATATGTGCCACCTCAAGAACACTATATTCATCATCAGAATCAATCGTATTCCCATCATCATCTTGAGGATCTTGTTGCTCGAGTCTTTGTCTTGCTTCCTCTTTTTCAAAGAGACATATGATGGCACAGCGGTGACGGTCACGGACAAGACAGCTACTGCGCAAGGTGGTAAGTCGTCTTGGTGTTCCTGTGAAGGTTTGTATCTGGTCGCGCTCCTCTTGTGTTTCATTCTGGATGGCAGCGTAGGAGAAAGGGGTGATTTGAGGAGTGTATTGATTCCCAGCAGCCAGTACTGTGAAGCTGTTAGACCAAAACAAGACCAGAGCAAGACCAAAACAGACAACTTACAAGGGAAAAAGAGGCTGAGGAGAAGATCCTCAGCAAAAGCAAAAAGCAGGGAGCGTAGACCATTGTCAAGGATGATGTCGCCATGGCCATCCGTCATGCCAAGCAGAAGCCGGTGGAAAAAAGCCACAAGGAATCTGTTCTGCGACTCGGGCGAGCGTGCATATTGGAAGGTGAGGCGAATAAGGGCCGGGCGATTGTAGTCATTGTTGTATCGTGTGGGCTCGCCAGCTTCAAAGTGCGTGACGACATGGTGGAACCGATTGATGGCTTGGGTGCGCAGTTGGGGGTTGGTGGACAGGGATTGTGCACGCGAAAAGTCGATGCCGTCTAGCAATGACGGGTGCCCTGGGGCCGCCATGTTAGGGTTTGGTGTCGCCTTGGGATTTGTGTTTGTCGGGATTGTGTCTGTTGGGATTGTCTTTGTCGGGATTGTGTTTGCCGGGATTGTGGGATTGTGTTTGGTCTTTGGTTTGTTTTGCGTCGAGAAAAAACCGAGGGGAATAAGAGGGGACAAAGAGGGGGAATGGACCGAGGAACAGCCATGGCCAGTCAGGTTTG